AGAGGAATAAGAGGAAAATATATAAAAAGAAAAAAATGAGAGGTGAATGAAAAAAAGAAATAAAAAAGGAAAGGACAGAACTGCTCCTAGGTATGGTGGAGGAGAAGGTTTATTGTGGATAAAAGGGGGAGCATGACTGGAGGCTGGGCCAGCTGGGAGAGTGCAGAGTAAACATAATGGAGCTATGTGGGTGGTGGGGGGAGAGCCAGATCAATAGGCCAGGAAGGTAAAGAATAGACAAAAGGGCCAGGTAATCAACAGGGTGGGATTATACAGAGAAGGGCAGCTGTGGGGGTGGGAGGAGTACAGCCCAACACGGGGCTGGGTATGCCAGCCAGAAGGAAATTTTAACAGGTAGGGACTGAGGGAAACTGGGAACAGAGTGGCCAGTTCCACTTTGTTCTGTTAAGTGGGCGCCTTAGCCTTTTGTCTGGGGTTTGAGACACAACAAGAGGTAGGTTAGTTTTAAAGAAAAACTAAAATAGAAGTGACTTAACTAGCAGAAAACCTGTGTATACAGAGTATCCTCAAAGAAACGTATCACTTCTTGGCCTTTTGGTTAGGATCAAGTACAGGAAAAATGGCAAAGAAACAGAACCTAGAGGAACATGCACATGAGCTAAGTATAGAAAAAAATGGCAAAGAAACAGCAGCACCTGGAGCAATGCCCTCGTGAGCTTTGCACAGTCACAGAACTCAGGGTCAGACTTCCACAGTGTCTTACAGTAGCGATGAAGGACTGGAAACTTAAAGGAATCTAAGCACCAAGAATACAATCACAAATCTAACAAGATCCTCATGCCAGAAAGAAAAAGTTATTAATGGAAGAAATCAAAGTCCTAAATCGCTGGAATTCTGAGGTGCTCACGGGTTAGTCGACATAAACCTTACTACTAGGCTGTCCCTCCTTACACTGAGCTTCTAATCTAACAGAGCTCACAACCAAATTCTCCCCAGAAGTTTCTTAGAGACCTACAAGCTGACTCCAAAGTGTGTCAGGAAAGAGGAATAATCCAAAATAGCCAAAATAATCTTGCAGAGTGCCATGAGTGTTGAGTAAACCCATGTGCCCTGATTTACATTCTAGCTTTAATCCTGCAGGGTGAAGATGATGGTGGCCAAATATGAAGGAGCCCAAATTGGGACTCCAGTGACACACCTTCTCAAACCCAGCAAGGGACAATGGCAGGGGAGAGGTGAGACAGTCGCTCAGTAGTTAATAAACAACTCCAGAAAAACTGGATATCTACAAGGTAAGAAAATTTCAGCCTCCGCCTCCCATCTTATACTAAAACAAACCTGCAATGCATCATAGAGCTAAATGTAAAACAGAAAAGTGTATGTTTTTGTGAGAAACTACAAAGTTATCATGACTTTGAGTTAGGCAAAGAGTTCTTAGATATGAACTAAACTAAAATTCATAAATTTTAAAAATCTCAATAAATTAAACTTCATAAAAATTTTAAAACTTTTCCTCTATGAAATATACTAAAACAATAAAAAGATTAATTCAAAAGCCAGGGGAAAATATTTGAAATTGTGCATCTTACAAAAAAATCCTGCATCTATAACATATAAAGTACTTTCAAAGCTCAATAACAGTAAAGCAAATCACCAGATAAAACCTTAGTGTTTGAAGAGACACTCCCACAAAAATGATAAACAAATGTCAAGGAAGCACAGGACAAAAAAACAAAAAAAAACAACCACCTTTAGTGGTTGGTGAAATTCAAATTAAACCAATGGTTTAACTTGAAATACAATCTTTTGAAATACCAGGACTTCTGTGTGTGGCTGGTGAGACCGCTTGGGGATGTTCGTATCGAGCTACATACATACACACCAAATGATCTGGCAATCCCGATGTCATGTATTTCCCAAAATAAATCAGTTCATTGTATTATTTTCCTGGGGCTGCCACAACAAATTGCCACAAAGTCAGTTAGAAAAGAACCAGCAATTTATTCTCTTTCAGTTCTAGAGGTCAAAGGTCCAAAAATGTGGATACCGGGAAGGTCTGTGCTCCTTCTAGGGCCTCAGAGGAGGAGGTTCTGGACTGTCCCAGCTCCCCTCAGTAGCAGTCGCAGGCTCATCTGCTTCCTTCACTTCCTCGGTTGACCCCCTCTGTCTCCTACTTCATGTCATCTTCTCTGTGTGTCTTCTTCACTTTTAAGGACACGCAGGACCTACAACTTTCCTGAGTTTCCTGAACGATCCAAAATAGTCTTATTTTGGGATCCTTAACAACACCTGCAAAGACTTTTTTCTAAATAAAATAGCGTTTCATCAGTTCTAATAGTTAGAACAGAGGCGTGTCTCTGTAGGACCCTCACTGAGCCCATATTATTTATCTTCACTTCAGATCTGCCCATGGAGGCAGTGTCAAAAGCTAGAAACATCCCAAGTGCCATTCATTGGGACATAGTGCATGGAATGGGGTTCATCTCTACAGTGCTTTACACTTCACAACTCAAAAACTGAACTAGTGATATATACCATGACATAGGAAAATCTCGAATGGATTCTGTGAAGGAAAAGAATTCAGACTCAAGACTTCATACTGATCCCATTTATGACTGTTGCAGAATATTTGTATATACTTAAAGATATGCCTCTGCCTAAGGTATCTTCTTAATAAAGAGCTGTACGGCCAATAGCTAGGCAGGAGAGAACAGGCAGGACCTCAGGACCTCTGAGCAGAGAGTGAGGAACTTGGAATGAATCTGCACAGCCTGAGAAAGATTCCAGCAAGATGCTGAAGAAATTGGACATATGGTGCAGAGGAGAAGTAACTGAGCTTCATAGCAGAGCACAGATTAATAGAAACAGGTTAATTTAAGTTATGAGAGCTAGGTGGGAAAAAGTCTAAGTTAAGACCAAGCCTTCATAATTAATAATAAGTCTCCATGTAATTATTCGTGGGCTGGTGGTCCCTACGAGAAAGTACTAACTACTATAGATACCATTCTGAAGGAGTCAAGCCCATAGAGATGGATCAGCAGAGACTGTGGTTGAGGGAGCAACTGAGTGCAGGAGGATTTGGCAAGGGATATAATTGCTTTAAGTCCTCTCTGTGCTGATTCCATGGCTCAAGGATTTGCTACCAGAACTGCACACCAAAACAAATGAACTTTTCAATATGTAAATTTAAAATTACATATCTGAAATGAAATCTGAAAGGGGACTCTGCCAGGCACATTTCTTCTGCCAACTAGACCCCTATAGACTTTCTCAACTGCAGTTCCTGAAAGGACATCAGAAGCCAGAACCAAGAAGGATCTGGTTCCTTCCATGTTCAACCTCTGCTTCAGTCAGCATCACTCACATACTGACTTATTCTGGCAATGAAGTTCTTTCCAATCCCTAGCTTGGCTTAGTTTTTCTGAATCCCTAGAACATTCTGGATGTACCTGCTCTACTGCCCACCCATGTGATTTCTGCATTTGCACTTTTAGGACAGCTTACATCATCCCAGCACCAAGCAAGAGTTACCAGGGTCTGCTAATTTTCCTTCTCAGTGATCTAAGAATCCTTCTCCAAGCTCCTCAGCCCTTCAACTAGCCCCTAGATGGTAACCTCTGTACTCCATATTTTCTCTGGTCTTTTCGGTACTCTAACACCTATGGATGCCATTGTTACATTAAATATTTCCAGTTAAAATGACCAGTGTAATCTGCTTCTTCAACTAGAACTTGACTGATAGACATTCAAGGTCCTTAATGGGGTCTTACAGAATCCTGCATAATAATCAGTCACCCTGTTTCATCTCCGCCTCATCAGCTTCTTCCACATCGCTCACTCTAGGTCTGCCTGCCATTTCACAGAGAGTGCATGTTAACCTCTTCACAGCAATGGAACAAGCTGTTGTGCATGTAACCTAGCCTCTCTTGCCAGTGAGTTGTGAGAGGTAAAGAGAGAGGAACCTCTCCATCAGATGGGCCTTAAGGTATGAACCAGAAGCAATACAAAGCCTCAACATCAGCCAAGATTTTATATGTAGATGTACAAACAGCTGGGGGAAAGGTTAAACTATTGCTGCATATGTTAGAGTAAAGAATTAAGAAATAATGAATGTCCTCATTTTCCTTGTTATAGGCCTTGGTTATGTTCAGCTTCTTTCCAATTTGAAAATGCATGGTGAAATCCTTGTCGATATTGCCGATACAGTGATACACTGGGTAGAAGAGGAGATGGACCGTAGATGTAGCAATACAACCACTGATTCTTCTTGAAACCGAGTAAGGGTACAAAGACTTCATTATACTATGTAAGGACTAGAACATTATATGCTTAAATTTTTTGTGTCTCCACCATGTAAGGGCCTATCATGTAAAGCAGGAAGGTCAAAGAATGGTTCACAGATCTCCAGAAAATGCCAAAGACATTGCTAATAACATGAGGCATGGTAGCTTCTACTGTGTGCTCTGAAAGTCATCACAGGGCTTCCATAGCCTATTAATGTGACCTTGAATCTCTCCTCTCAGGGCTTTACCTCCTCACATGTGGGTATCTTCCTATGGCTTGACCATGAAGATTAAGTCAATTAACGGGTATATAACAATTTCTTAGAACACTGAATAATACTAAACACTCAACAGTAATTGTTATTATTATTATTATTATTATTATTACATAGAAAGACATATTGAAATGGACCACCACGGACTCAAAACAAATGTATCCAAAATATGCTTTAATCTTGATGAAGTTCACAAATGATACAATTTTGACATTTCCTTACATAAATGTACAATCATGTTCTGAGACACCAAGGCACAGTATCTCCTCTACCAAGAGTCTCCAGAGGCTACAAGAGGCAGTGATTTCACATCTCCCCAAGGGTCAACAGAGCTGCCACCATCAGCTGCTGGGTGACTTTCAGCAAACCTGTGTGGTTTGCTGCTGGGGAAGCCAGTGGGAGACACAATCACATTGACTGACCACAGACTCAGCATAGAAATGATCCAAACGAACACTGAATTAACTCATCTATACTCAATTTCATTCCGCTCGAGTGACAAGGGTGATGTTCTCCGGTAGCAATCAGGATACAGACATACGCATTGTCTATGGGGCCTTCTCATCAGGTCCTGGTTAATAAAATTAATAGACGTGGTGAGTTCAGCTTCACGTAACCTGAAATGAAGAGAAAGAAAAAAGAAAAGGAGGAGGAAGAAAAGGTAAAAGGAGAGAGGAGAAGAGGGGAGAGGGAGGAAAGTAAGGGAAAGAAGAAGCTATGGATATGTGGGTAACCACAGTCATCTCTAACAATGCTAATTTATAATTTAGCAGCTCTTCCGCAAAACAGAATCCATGAATTCTGAATTTGGCGTGTGAGGAGGCTTCTAGCACTGTCCCTATTAATACTGGAAGGGATGTGGGGTGTCCTGGTGACCCTGCAATCTCAGCACTTGGAAGTTGGGGCAGGATGGTCAGGAATTCAAAGCCAGCCTCTATAGACTGAGCCGGAAGCCAGCATGGGCTGCTCAGAACCTTCTCAAAAACAGAAGAGATGCCAAATATGCTGGAAGCAGTGTGTCTGCTCATAGCCCTCCGGTCCAAGCTGGGGAACACCAACAAGAGTAGAGCTGTGCAGGCACCAGAACAGGTAAGGTTTGCAGACCCTCCCCTTTCCAGATCCAGACATTTCTTTTCCTTTCTTTCCTCAGCAGCAAGGCACTGCTTCCCCGTGATCTCTCCTGCCATTCTGATTTCAAGTTCAAGCTCAGCTTGAGAAGGAACTCATTACGTCAGGAAGAGGACTAGTACTAGGCATAGGGAACCCGAAGGCCCTACCCCTGTCAGTGGGCTTCGGGATGTGGGGTTTAGCTCCCAAATCTTTCCTCACTCAACCCAGAGTACAAAATCACCTTCATTCTGGGGGCCGGTAGCTACTCAGTCCTGAAGGTCCCTGCGGCGCCGGCCATAGGCTTTGGAACCCACATTGGTGGGCACAAAGTTGTTCTTCATCATGCCCCCGGACCTGCTCAGCAAGTCTGCAAGCCGATGGGTCACACAGGTGGCAGTGTTGCAGGCTCTCTTCTGGGCACTGATATTCAGAATGGAAAAAGAAGGTAAGTCTTGTCAGTGATAGTTGGGGAGGAGCCTACCCCTTGAGAACCCCATCCCTTCAATGAACCACTTAAGAGTTAAGTGTTTCTCCTAAGTGCTTCATCAGAACTGTTCAGGGAATGACCTGAGAATCTTTACCAGAAACTCTTCCCCAAACAATGACCAAATTTAAAACAACAACAACAAAAACAAAAATAGCCTTCTTACCTTGCTAAGAACAACATTTTCAGCTTCTCCTCGGATATGCTTATCTGATCCTTAGCATGCTGCTTGTTGTGAACGCTGCATCACAGAGATAGCCCATCAAGCCCTGTGCCAGGTCACCTGACGCTAAAGCTGTTTCTTAGTCCCTGGCCACTCACAAGCTTCAGAAGCTGACCAAAGCAATGATCATTATAGCTCTGATTTTTCCAGAAAAAAAAAATGAGCGAGGAGGAACGGTTGTGCTTATTTCAGCATTCAGAAGCAGAAAATGAATAGCTATCTAAATGCTCTAGAAGGTTCCCTCACTCTCTTACCTCAGGCACGATCTAGGACTTCTGCCCTCTCCCTTCCCACCCCGACTCACTGATGGTCTCATTCACCCTGGATGCTGCTCTTGCCAGCTTCAGAACAACAGAGAAGAATGCACGTGTGTGCGGCAAGCTCAAAAGTAGGAGCAAGAGAGGAAACCAGGAAGGACACGGAAGAGTTTGCTGGCACCCTGGACACTTCAGGCCCTCTGCAAGCGACCAGCTGCGTTCTTTTCTTGCCTGTGTTTCAAGCCCAAAGTCCACACCAGAGAAGGTAGGAAAGTCGTTCAGCTCCTCTGCCTACATACCAAGAACTCCTGTGTTTAGATTCCCATACCAACAGGGGCTGATTCCACCGGCAGAAAACAGGTTAAACCAGGCAGGAGACTAGACGCTGGGACAGAGGGTGGGTGGAGGTCAGCTCACACAGACTCCATGGGGAAGGTTTGGGGGTGCAGTGGGCCAGGACAGTGTGGGGAAGGGCAGAGGAAAAGGATGGCTCTTTCTGGCATCCATGTGCTGTTCAGTCTCTCATGCTTGACAGGGTGTTTGGATGCAGGTCAGCATGCTTTTCCTTGGGTGCTGGAGCCAGGCCAGGGTTGGTCTGTTTCCAGGCAAGGGACCCTGTAACAACTTGCACACCTCTACAGGTGCCCTGGACCTACCTCAGCCACTTGTTCAACCTGTCGCAGACCCCTCGAACCCTTACAATTCCCCCTTGCCAGTATGAAAGAAGCTGCTGAAACTTCCTGACACTCTAAGTTCATCTGCTGGGATCGCACTTACCTGCCCTACTCCAGCCAGTGCAGCCGTGCATCCCCGTGGGCACAAGTCCAGCTCCCACAGTAAGCGATCCTACATCTCCTCATTTCCTTTCCCAAGAGTTTGAGGAGAAAACAAAATTTTAATGTGTCTAACCAGTATGAGTCCCTCTGGTGGCACTGGAACCTCGGACTTCCACGGAGGCTGGGAACAATTAACTTAGTTCCTTGAACTGCTGGCCAGTGTCTCTGTACCTCTCTGGAATAGGTCCTCCTGAATATATGGGGACCAGGTGAGTAGGAGCCTTACCTAGAGTCCGCAGTCTCCTGCTCCTTCTGCTCCAGCTTCCTGGCCTTCATCTGCTCGTAGTTCTGCACCAGTGCAGCCACCAGGAGGCGCTTTTCCTGGTCGCTGAGGGTAGGGTCTAAGCTGCTCTTCAAGGCTGGCCTGTGGAGGTAAGCAAAACTAGCACAGATTCCCATTCCCTGCCTTCCTCCTCCCCAAATAAGCAACCGAGTTTCCCGGTCCCTGCTTCTTCCCTAGGTGCTTAGTGCTCAGGTCCTGAGGCCAGTCAGTGCCCACACGAGGGCGCTGATTTCCCAATAACCAAGTGGGGGCTACAGAACCACGGAGTTGACAGTTCCCGAGGCAACCCGATGGGGAGTCAAACTGCACTCCCGATTCAAGGTAATTTACCTCAAAGGTGCTGCCTGGAGGCTGCTGGCCAGGCACAGGATCCACAGGCTGCTGAGAGCCAGAAAGGGAAAGAATTTCCCAAAGACCATGATGTCTCTGTAAAAAGAGAAGGAAGGATCGTCGACCCAGGGTCTAGTCCTGCCCCTGACACAAGTGCCCTGCTAACTTTGCCTTCATCTCCCCCACCACTGTTCCTTTGTTTGCCAGAGGGATGTTGAGGATCTCAATAGATACAGTGTAGTGTATTCTGCTTGATAGAGCAGAAATGGCTGGGGGAAGGTAGGTGTGGTTTGCATTCTCTGTTCTGTGTTAGGAGGAGCTGTAGGCTCTCATTGGCCCCAGCTTGCAGCAGCGCACACATACTAATGCCCCTTTTGCTCTCCTCTTTGAAGAAAGCAAGAACCACCCAGAGCTCCTTGAAACAGATTTGCCGGACCTCTACTTTGGATTTCTCACGGGCTGAAAATTTTAGAACCACCTTTTCTGAGCAGTTGCCCTGGGGAGACTGGAAAGGTATCTTGGAAAGAAGAATTAATCTCTCTCCAATCTGCAAAGTCGGGGGAATTTTTTGAGTCCCAATTAAACTGTCTCCGAACCGCAGAAGAGCTGTTCGGCACCTGGTACTCCACGGTGCACCCCAGATGCTTGCTGATGACTGCCAGCATCTCAGGAAAGATCGGTACTCCCTAGACCTAGACCCAAGAACCTTCTATCCTCAAATTGGATAGGGTGCGGTAAGACCACCTGCTCCCAAGGAGGAACCACAGGCATGCCTAGGTGGGGTCGCCCACCTTTCAGGGTACTCCCACGGGTGTGCTCTAGAATTCCACTCACGCTAGTTAAAAGAAAATGCCACGACCGCACTTTTTGACTGATCCCCGGCTGCAGGAAGGCAGAAATGGTTGTGGAATAAATAATCTAGCCAGCAAAGGGAGCCAAACTGGTTGTGGTGGCGTGCGCCTGTTATCTGCATCCTCGGAATGGATGGCAGTGCGTTCGAGATCAACCAGAGCAATAGTAAGGTCCAGATTATCCTGAATTACTACAGTGTGAAACATTGCATCAAAAAGAACAGCAACAAAGTAGACAAACGGATGGAGAGTGAGCTGAAAGAGTTGAAAAGTTAGTTTCTCACCTGATTAACCCGAGTGTTGAACAGCGAAAGCGAAGTGTCCCCTGGAGAAGAGCACACAGGGCTGTACGCACCTTGTCCCCCAGAGCCCTGGTCTCTTATTCTCTGGTCTTAGGGGTGGGGTAGGAGAGGGGGGGTCCGCACTAGATCTCTCCGCCAATCAGAGCTCTGACCGAGCTTCCGTGGCGTCGGAGCTGGAGTTTATCTACACTCCTGCAGCAAGAAGGAAGCAGTCCACTCTGTCTTTGCCTTGAGGTCACTGCTGAGGAACAGGGTTGGGGGTGGGGTAAGGAGACTGAGAGAGGGTGGATTCGTCCAGAATGTGTAGGCAAATCGGAGAGAGTTCAGCATCGCGACTTCTCTAACGCTTGAACTCGAGCCTACAACCTTCTGCTCACCTCTCCAATGGGGCCTGAACCCCCTGGCTGGACTTAGGCAGGGGAAGCAGTAGTCCTGGACTCTGAAAGGACTTCAATTTGATACAGCCAGCAAGGTGACTGTCGCAGGAAGGGGAGGGAGGGTCCTAGGATCCATTAGGGTACTTCCGGCATGCCTGCCCGCATTCGGCACACTAGCAGTCCTTTGCTCCGCTAACCTAAAGCGGTAGAAACTGGAGAGTATTGGGGAGCAGCTAACACACTGTACAAGGCACTGGACACTCCCCTCCCACACCAGACCCTGCAAATGCTGCACTGTGTTTTTTGTCTCCCCCATCCAAACCCATGACCCCACACTGCGGCAGTGGTATAGCTTAAATGCACTTCCCTGCGCCCCTGGCGGGTTTGCCAAGCTGTGGGGCTGACGCTCCCAGTGCCCGGATTTCTCCTCCCCGCCGCACACTGCAGAGCTTGACTGCTGAGCCAGGGTCCTCCACCCGCCATCTCAGCAGGCGCGATGGGCAACCCAGGGGTCAGAGGGACTTTCACACTCGCTCAGCTGTTGGTTAAATAAGCAGCAGGCAAGACTGCAGGTGCTTTGGCATTAACACAGCCACTGAGGAATGCTCAGACTCTCTTGCCTCCAGTAGAAGGCTGTGCGTGCGCTAACCCAAATCCACTGAGCTCTGGCCAAAAAACAACTCCACGCTTCTGCTCTCAGTAACAGGCATGAATTATGTGCGTACCGTAATAGACACATCGCCACTCTACCGCAATCGTGGGCATTGATCAAAGCATACCCACGCAAAGGGACTGTATCCGGCTTTCCTAAGCTCTCTTTTGTGAGTCCACATTGCCCATTCTCCCTGCTCCCAGTGCGTGGAGAAGATAAACCTGTGTCCCAAGTGACTGGAAAGAACCACCACCTACTCCCAAGGATGTTAGCTCCCCCCTCCCCCAAAAGCGCAATTTTTGCACAAGGACTCCCCTAGTGTCCAGGGAGTGCAGGGGACTCTAGCAAGGTGTAGGAAAGACTATGCCTGAGGCTTGTGGAGGTCCACACCGAGTGTTCGGTTTCTGGGAATCAAAAAACTTCTGGTGTGTTTGTCCATGTCCTCTGAGTCATTTTTCCATACCAGGCCCTATTTGTTGAATCAAGGATAGAAGACATCTCCCTCCCCCAAGAAAAAACCCTACTGGGAAACTCCCATGGGCCTCCAGTCCTGGCCAGCAAGGCAGTGAGGTAGCATGGAAGGCACTTGCCCAGGAACACTGCCGTGGAGCTAGGGTAGAGCAAAGCTGCAGCCAGCAGAGGCTCAGGACGGCTTTGTAATCGATGCCCATGCAGGGCAACCCCACCAATGCCCTCGAAAGGGCTTTCTTTATGAAAGCAAGATCTCTCTGCATCCACATCCTTGCGTCCACTTCTGCCTGAAAGGAGAATCGTGGACAGGGCCTGTATATGAGGGCCTTCTCCCCAGAAAGTCCTGAAAATAATAGGGTGACATCTGTGTCTTTCTTCCAGGTTTCAGACCTAGAGTGACTGTGTCCAGGAAAGATACATTTGTGAGGTCTGAGAAGCATCTGCAACCTGCACCGCCAGTCCCCACACTACGGTCACTGTCGTTGGGGTCTGGCAAAGCGTGTAGTTCAGCAATCCCAGGCAGCATCATTCTCCCCAGGGCCCTGGTCCATAATTAGAGTGGGTGCCTGGGTGAAGACACTCCCACCCCTCAGCTCTGCAGCCTGGTCTGGTCATCAGCCACATGCCCAGGGGAAAGGAAAGCGAGCAGAAGGCTGTATTAGGAATCCTGATCAGTCTCCGGAGAAGCCTCCGAAATGTTTATTTAGAGGAACATAGAGCCTTTGAGATTTAACTGGGAGGCCCGCAGAGTCTCCAAAGACAAGCCCTGCAATGCTAGGACTCTTCCAGGGTGTGGAGACAGACGGAGGGCAGCCAGGTCACATTCCCCAGATCTGGCTGTACTCTTCACACAGCCCCCAGCCTGGTGTGAACTAGGGTGGAATGTGCAGTGGTTTCCGTACGGGTACCCAGCATCCCTGCCCTCTAAACTAAGGACAGCCCGTTTAGCAAGTTGGTTATCTTCTTGGAAGATCCACAGGACTGGCTGTTTTACTTCTGTGCGCCTAGAATTATTTGATCTGTTTTTTTTTCTTTCCTTTACCCAGGGAATGGTGGACAGTATACGCAGAACAAACTGGTGAAGTCAGAAAGAGTGAAACAGTGGCCCACTGAGCACGCTAGGTCATTAGACTAGAATCAGACAAGGAATTCCTAGCCAAATTAAGCTAGACTGTAGACCCAATTTAGAGCTAATAGGAGGAAGCACACATTGCTGATCCAAAGACATGCACCTTTTTATTCAGTAAGGAGAATGAGTGTACCGAAGAACCTTTCTGGAGTCTGTTGCCAGAGGAAGTACTAAAGGCTTCTCCTCAGGAAAGTCCACCAGCTTGAAAAGCAAAACAAGGCATTTTCTCTCAACCCAGCTTGGAATTATATTAGTGAATGAACAAGAAAAAAAGTCAATATGGTAATTTGCTTTCTAAACAGAGGAAATTGCATCTTGATTTCCCTGGAACTGGTCTGAGCTTCAAGCTGTCTCCCAACAATGTAACTAGCATAAAGAATTCTTTCCTAGGAACATATCTGGCTTTTTTATAAAAAAAAAATCTCTTCAATATTTTGATGCTCAGCTTAAATACTTCACAAACCATTAGTTTGGGAAGGCTTTATACTACTTTGTGCTGTCTGACTTTGGGAGTTTTGAAAATGTATCTGTGATGGTCAGTCTCAGCTGCCAACCTGGTGGGATTTAGAGTCGCCCTGAAAACAAATTCCCGGCATATCTGTGAAGGAGTTTTCTAGATTACAGTAACTGAAGAGGGAAAGCCCACCTCAAATGTGGATTGCACCATTTCAGGGGCTGAGTCCGGGGTCCTCAGCGGGAGCAGAAAGTCAGCAGAGCAGAAGATGCATTCATTTCTCTCTGCTTCTTGACTGGATGCCATGTGACCAGCTACCTCAAGCTCCTGCTGCCACGCCTACTTCAAACCGCCCACTTAAATGTAAGTCATACTAAGCCTCCTCTTCAAGTGGCTTTCTGTCATGGCACAGGAAGAACAACCACTGCAGTGTCTCAACTTGTTGTTCTCCTAACGAATTTCCTAGAATGAATATTCCATACCAGGTTTCCTTCCATTAATGAGGAAGGAGGCCATTGTCTTACGCAGAGGAATTCATAGCGAATCCAAGAAAAAAAGCCCTGTCCTGACAGCCTTGTATCACAGTGATGGACTTAACACGAGTCTGTATACACCCTGTTCCCCAAATAAAAACAATCCCACGCATGCTGTCATTGCATCGATCTCTGTTTCAAATGGGTATCTGAAGTATGTATTGTTGAAACCATGCAAATACTGCCCTAGTTCAGCCAGACAGTGCCGTCTGGCGGCGTTGACTTGCTCAGTCCCTCCTTCCATCTGCCCGGTTCTCTGTCTACCTGCCTATTCCTTTCCCTGGGGTCCCATCTGCCCCTCATCAATTTACTCCTTCATTTTTA